AGGGTTAGGTTAAGGGTTAGGTTTAGGGTTAGGTTTAGGGTTAGGTTTGGGGGGGTTAGGGTAAGGTTTTCGCTTTTTTTTTACATTTTTCGATCACAGCGCGATGTTTTCGTCGTGCTGGGATGACGTCAAATGCGCACTTTCGTCGAGCGCGATTTTGTCCTCCGCGGTTTTGTGGTGGAACCGAGAAATACTGGCATAGTGCAATATTAATGCAACATCAGGGATTTTCAATTAGAGCGGGAAGGATGTGTGTTTTTATTTTTATAGTTATAATGCATACACTGAAGATGGCATTTAATTTCGTTGCACGAGGTGCACTGACAATAAACTACTACTACATACAACTCTTAACAAGGGTTTGCATTCCCATGGTGATGCTCGCCTTCTGAATGGGATCTTTCTGTATTTATTGTGTGCAGCCTACAGTTTTTTTTTACTATCGGTCTAATTATATAACCGTATCTATTTATTTCTACGTTGCTGGAACAAAATAAAACAACATTCCACATCTTACGCAGAATACGACGGAACAATTTTAAACATCCCCGATAAGCCAAAACTGTCGAAGTAAAACACCGTGAAAGTAGTAACGAGCCTAAAACCGCAAGGTCAAAACAATAACAGTGAACATCAAAGAAGTTTCCTAACATCGAGGAAAGGCTTCCCAAAACAACTGCCTCTTCTTCGACAGTTTCAGAAATGTCAACAGGGATGAGACCAGCCTAAATCTCCAGGACGCTGTTTGATAGTATATTGGCCAAAAATTTACTATCGCAGTTGCATTAAGAGAGGGATAGTGTTCTGATCCAGTTTTAGCAGGCAAAGAAAACAGACTCCTTGTCCCGAAAAACCCCTCTTTATTTATCTCCTGTGAATTAATGGCATTCACCCACCGAAAAGTCCAGGCAATAGTCCATCAAAGAGTTAACTGCGAGGCCGTGAGCTTCCAGTTGCAAAGCTGTAAATTAAGTTCTGGCAAGCAGTCTCTGTGACACAAAACACAATGAGCAAAATCGTCAGAAATACGAACTGTTGTCTCCTACGATCACCACTCTCCTTCTATTTTGTGTTTTACAATCTTAGCAATTTTACTCTGTGCGGACTTCCACTCCCAGAATTCCTCGGTCAGCTTGCTGGCTAGGGAATTCTGGGAGTTGACGTCCCCACAGCTTTTAACATTTCCAAGGTTCATAAACGCTGATTTTGGAGATTAGAATGCAAGTCGGTAACCGGATCATCACGGCAATCTTGAGAAAGTAGGAACCGTAGTCATTCACGATGCTTTTCAAGTAGTTTGCAAACCTAAAGCGACACGCGATTATCATGGTTTGCTTATCTTACAACCTGGATTTATTTATTTTTCCTCTTTCCTTAGTGGGGGCAGGATCTCCAGAGCGAACACGAGAAATACCTGGTTCAACACTGCGGCGATATTCCCGTTTTCGTGTACGACTATCCCTACGACCTTAAGCCGTTCTACCTGCGAGACAACGAAGATGGACCTCGTAGGACTGTGAGAACGTTATTCATTAAAACACTTTCCTCTTGGGTTGGGTACCCATTTCCTCTTGGGTTGGGTTCTTGTTACCCTCTTTAAACTTTTTTGAAATGAAATAAATTCGCTTCTCGGGTGGAATTGGTTGGTTGTGCAAGCTTTTACACTGTATTTAAGGTAACGGTTCCCCTCGCACATATCTGCTAGTCGTTCCCGACTGTAGGGGTGTGCTCGTCTCTGTTTCAAAAGCTGAAGAGCCAGTGCTGTCCGAAGACGTTGGGGGCGTGACAGTCCTGGGTCCCTGCTGGTTCCAGTGACTCAGGCCGCCAAACCGGCCCGAACCGGTGGGAACTGATGCAAATGTAAGTAGATGAATAGGTACCACTTCGGTGGGAAGGTCGCAGCACCTCGGTGTATAGTGTATATATGCTGGCCACAGGACCACGGAAGTGTCTTCGGACAATGCCGGCCCCTTCGGCCAAGAAATGGAGATGAGTGCTGCCCCCTAGAGTCAGACATGACCGGAGAGGACAAACGTTTACCTTTAACCATTCAGGACTACGTGGTGATTGTGTACCTTCACACAGAGAAAGATTCCGGACAAACCTTTGAGTTTCTGTTTCCTAAAAGGTAGCAGCGGTTGATCTACTGGTCCCAGAAGTTGGAGAACTTTTCGGTGGAAGTTTGAGAGAAGATCGTGTGGATTTTCTGCAATCTCGCTTACGGAGGTAGTGTGGTTTTCTCTGCCTGGTTTGTTGGGGAAGGGGTTGGGTACCGCTTAATCAAAAATTAATAGGATGAGTGTTGCGGTGACCTAGAGGTGGAGCTTTCACCTCACAATCAGGACACTGTGAGTTCGATCCCAGGTAGAGGCAGATATTTCTCTCTCTGGGTGCACTGGGAATATCTCTGTTGAAACAATCTCCGTGTTCTGACCGAGGCTTCCTGAGAGCCTGAAGCAAACTCCTTGTCCCGACAAAAAACCCTTTTATTAATTGAATTCTGCTCATTCACATCCAGTAAAGTCTTTTGAGGGAGGATTTACAGTCACAGACCTTATCTGGCGTGGAGAGTTGCCAGGCCAAGATCTGCAAAACATGGCCAGGAGTATCGGAGAGTCACGAACCAATTAAGTGAACTGATTGTCTCCTGCAAACTCCACTCCCCTGTCACTCCTCTTTTATTCCCTCTGAAAGGGGCCATTCATCGTCCGCCCGTGGCCTTACTCCCAAATNAAAAATTAACGTTAATTGATACTGCGGCTTATAATCCGGTGCGGCTTTTGGTCGTGAAAATACGGTACTTATTTTTTCGTTTTCTTCATTTCCAAACTCCTTTATTTTTCCAACCATTGGTAAAATACTACACCAAATCATATAATGTTCAGTTTGCTCTTTTGCCTTAATTGCTAATGTTACTCTGTTCATTTCTGCACATTCTAATCTTTTCCTTGCCTTTTTCATCCATAGGAATCTCTACACTTTTCCAATGTGGTGCATATACAATTCTAGCTGCAGTTAATACATGCATGATTTAATATACGTTCTCTTTATTATAAATTTCAGGTAGAATTCCCAGCAGAAATGTTTTGGGCTTCAGCTCAGTACGTTGTTGTATCACCTCTTCCAACCATGTCTTAATTTTTGTCCAACGTTTTTTTGCCTCTCCACATATCCACCACATATGATAATAGGATCCAAGGATTTTTATGGCACTACCAACATTTAGCTGAGTTATCTTGAAACATGCTTTATTAGTTCAATCCACATTTGAAATGGTTCCGCTGGGCTTATCTTGATCCTTTCACTTTTTGAATTTTGCAAAGTTTTTTCTCCAACTTTTCTCGTGGTTTTTTCCCTCTCAAATTTCTCAATTTCTCCCGAAACTGAAAATTGTTGGCTTTCAATTTGATCCCTTTGTGCAACCCTCACTGTTGACTCGACTGTTTCCCCAAAATGCTTTTGTTTCGAAACCTAAGCTATTTCTGACGTTAACGGTCCATTAATTTTCCCTTTCTCTTTCCTCTTTAGTCCAAATTAGAAAAAATGCTGAAGAACCCATTCATAATGTAAGTTTGTTTGGGGGGGGGGGTGTTTTGTTTGTTGTTGCTTAACTTACAAGCGTAATTTGTGACTTAACATTCCTCAGTACGGAATAATTTTGACTCATTTTGCAGTGGGGGGGTGGGAGTGAATTGGATTTGGATAAGATTTGGATTGGAGACCACCAGAAAAAGCATAGAATGCGGATCAAAGCATTAAAGTTGCAGTTCAGAAAATTTATTGCTCAAGCCCAGGGATCTCCAAAGCTGGATGGGGAATTGTGGGAGTTGAAGTCCACAAGTCTTAAAGTTGCCAAGTTTGGAGAATCTTGCTCAAGAATCTAAAGTTCTTTTTTTTTAATAAGTTTTATTTGTACATTTTTCTTTAACATACACGAGTGCTTAATAAACAGTGCAATGTCTGGGACAATTTATCTATACATAATATCAATAATAATAACAATCTTTACTTGTATATAGTAAACCAACTCCAACTCCTAATTTCTACCTCTGCTGTCTAACCATTTGTAAAACAAATCCCATCTTAAATAGTATTCTGTATCCTCTTTATCTTTAAGGTTAGCCTATCCATTTCTGCAGTCTAATATTTTAAGTTAACTACTACAGTATTAAATTGAGAGAAAGTAGCACAGAATTAAAGGCGACTTAGAACATTTGTGGCAACGTAACGATTCTGAGCAGATGGCGTGCTTAACTCCCACCCCTGGTCTTCTCCTANTTTGTCTTTTATGTTCCCCCTTTTTTTCCCCTTTGAATTGTTCGCCACCCTGAGTCCTCCCGGAGAAGGGAGGCATACAAATAATAAAATACCTAAATACCTAAATTTCTAATTCATTTCCTTCCCTTGAAGGAATGTTGGGGGAAGCATATTGCCCCATTGCAAAGGGACAAGTTTCCAATAATCATGAAAGAAATACATGACCATCTATATAAAACTGCATCTTTTCATAGATACTTTCAAGGTTCATTTTATTTTATTTATTTACTTTTACTTTCGTCTTGGTCATCTGTGAGGACCAATGTAAATGTTCCACAGGAATGTTGAGCTGTTTTGGCTGTGAGATTGAGTGGATTTGGCTTTCTACTATCCTTCCACTGAATATTCTAGAAGGTGAATGTGAAGATAACAATAGTGGAAATACTAAGGTTTTGTTTAGCCATTCCCCCTCCCCAGCTCCCCTCGTATCAATTTATTGTGGGAAATGTACATAGGAGGAGCGAGCATACTGTATACTGCCTTAAAATATACCAAATAAAATGCAAGATATACATTGATGAGAGCTTTTTAGACTTGTCAAAAGTTGTACCAATGCTATAATTCTTTTTAGATTTTTTTTTTAATTCTATCAATTGTCTGTGTTTACAAACAGCTTTCATATAAAATCAGTCAAGAGGCAGGAAAAAGCTTTTAACCGCCGGTCAGTTAAACAACGTCCTGCTGAATTTGAAGTCCAGATCTCTGCTGCCTTGTAGGGGAGTTTAAAGAGTTAAATCTCCAATTGTATTAGCAGATTGTGTTTTCTTTCTATGATCTGGGTTGACAAGACATCAGTATTCTATTCATCTGTTGGGAATTAGGCTGTTAATCCAATCAATGACTCTTGAGTGAGCCGCGGCCTGCTGCCTTCCCACTGGGGAACAATCGGATCAGACCGCCAGATTGTTTAAGAGCACAACGCTGTCCCAGTGTCAGGTGGAATTCTTGAGTGTTCCCTGGTGAATTGGGGCTGGGAGAAACTGTCTCGGACCATTTATCCTATTCTTTAAATAACCAGATACCTGCCTCATCCATACTAAACTGATAAGCAGTTGGGAGAAAGGCAGAAGAGAGACCCCTGACTAAAATCTTAGAAAAACTGCCTGCAGGAAATAGGTTGACGTTTACGTGATTTACCTCTTTTTCTTCTTCTTAAGGTTAACCAAAAAAAAGAGATTGCTTTGTTATGCTGAAGGAATACTGGAATTCGTTTCTATTAGTTTTAAAATAGTATTTTTGATTTGGACTTGAACATTTTCTCATGGAGTGAGAAAAAAAAAAGTCCAGGAAATAAATGGTTGGTATAGAATAAGTCAGACAGTTTGGATCTTTTTTTGTTTTTAGTTTGTTTATTTCTCCTAAGAGTTGTGAAGTTTAAAATCTGTTTTAAGCGTTAAGCTCAATAAATACATTCAGAACAGGCGTTTTATGGAGTGAGTCTGATTGGTTGCATTTTCTGTTTACTGCTAAATATTCATTACCCAGTTATCAAAATTATATATGTGGCTGCCCAAATAATGAACTATATTATAGTACATAGCAGCCCATAAGAATGGGATTTGAAAACTGTATAGTCCTGCTTTTTAATTCACCTATCTGCAATTTGTAAATATTGATATATTAAGGGTTCCACCACAAAACCGCAGACGACAAAATCGCGGTCGACGAAAGCGCGTATGTGACGTCATCACAGCGCGACGAAAAAGATCGAAAAATGTAAAAATAAAGCGAAAACCTTACCCTAACCCCCCCAAACCTAACCCTAAACCTAACCCTTAACCTAATGAAAAACCTAACGCTAACCCTTAACCTAACACTAAATGTAACGCTAACGCTCTAAACCTAACCTTAACCTAACCCTAACCCTAACCCTTAACCTAACCCTTACCTTTATGTGAATTGGCTTGCTGTAATTTAATTTTTATTTCAATTTTTCGATCTTTTTCGTCGCGTTGTGATGACGTCACATACGCGATTTCGTCGACCGCGCTTTTGTGGAACGCGGTTTTGACGGGTCATGATATTAAGAGGCAGGCAATACTTTCAGCTCAAGGGCATATCCCCACATACAAAGGCTACCAAAGAAATATTTATCATAATGGGGTGGCATTACAATGAAGTGGCACAACATTTTTGACTCATATTTTCTGTGTTTTGAGGCAACTAGGTTATTTCACCACGCGCTTATTGCATTAGTCTGCACTAGCTGCCAAATTCTAAGTACAGTGTGGAGCTTTTCAAGAAATGGTCGTCGTAAGATACTAGCAATCTTCAGGGAAGGTCCTGCTGTCCACAGATGCATACAAATTATGCTTTGGCAGTAATTTAGAGGTAGGGTTTATCCATAGGGCCATCTGTCCTTGAAATACCCTCTCTGTAAAACATCCTGCCTCTAAGGATGAAGTGCATCAAAAAAATTTTTAAAGAATAATCTTTATATGTTGGTATTTCTCAATACCAACATATAAATCAGTAAATCAGTGACTGTCTCCAATAGTTTTTAGTAGATTGTGCTTTAATGGGTTGTATTACAGGGGAAAATGTTTTGTTTCAAGCCTGGAAGAGCAATCACTTTCTGGAAATTCTACCAGATCATTTTGAGCTGGACAGAAATTGGCAGAAACAAACCTAGAATGCTATGGTTGTTTCAGGTGCCCCCAGAAAATCTAGAGGAATCCCACTGTGATTTGTTGGGGGTCAAGGCTTGGCTTGAATGTATTAGCTCCTATCTCCCCTCCTCTAAGGAATGGCCTGGGTACCAGATTACGACCCCCCCCCCAATATTCCCAGAATCTTCCCTTCTATTAAGTGCTGCCAATGTAAGTAACAGCACACCTGTTCCTTATTGTGATGGTCTCAGAAGTAACGAACAAGAACTAGGATGGTATAGCTTATCAGACCATCAACCC